CCAGAGAGCCAGAGAAGATTCTTTTAAATTTTTGTCTATTGTATTATTTTGTTGATATGATATTATATTGGAGAGAGGAGCTCATGGAAAGGCTGGAAGCACCAGGAAAGAGAAGAATGAAGAGTTAGATGATGGTCCAGTGAGCAAGGTTCTTGTGGAGACAGAAGGAAAATGGTGCCCCAAAACAGGTATTTATTTGGCTTGGAATTGCTGCCTTTTAACTGCCTCTCCATGCTTCTGTATCCATCCTCCCCATCCTTCTCCAAAGCCTCATTGCCTGATCGCTTCATTTCACTCTCATGGCACTCACCATTCCCCACCCTGTGTTTCTCCCGAGTCTAGTGCGCCCCTCCCAGCTGCCTCATGCTACTGTGCTGTGATTTTTGTTTACCACTGTGGAGAGTTTAGAACTCCAATACACCTGCGGCCCCCTAAATCAGGATCGCCTCTCCCTTTTTAAAGGGAATAACTTTCGTTCTGTTAGATAAAAGCACTCTTTTGTAATATTCAAGAGCAACTAGTTTTCTTAGAATCTTGGTATACTTTAAAAAAATTAGCTGAGTTTGGTGGCGGTTGCCTGTAATGCCAGCTACTTGGGAGGCTGAGGCAGGAGAATCGCTTGAACCCTGGAAATGGAGGTTGCAGTGAGCTGAGATTGTGCCACTGCACTCCAGCCTGGGCAACAGAGTAAGATTCTGTCTTCAAAAAAAAAAAAGAATATTAGTTATATTAGTATACTTAAATCTCCCATTTATATATATTTTTTTCAGTTGCACTCAAGGTCTTGAGATCCCTGTCCTCACAGTGCAGGAACTGGCAGTGAATCCACCCCTTGGGATGTGGTGGGTGGTAGATTCTGTTACCGCGAATGGGAGTGCGCTTCACCCATGGGTCAGGATGCTGTTACAGGGATGTGGTAAGAACAGATCAGCATTCAGCAGGACACACTGGTGAGCAGATGGAGCCAGCCAGAAGAATTCAGGAGCCGGTGATATCCACACGTCTGGTGAAGCAGGTAGAACTGCCTGGAGGTAGGTTCTCAGCCACTAGACCCAGATAGAGTATTTCATGTCTCTTCAAGGGAAACCGACAGAAGAAAAGTTGGTGCCAAGCTTAGAGAAAAGGCCTTGAGGGCATGTCAGAGCTCAGGTGTCAAGACTGGGGTCAAAGACCTGGCCAGACTCTGAGTGAGGCCCATGTCCTCCAGGGTTAAAGTCTCTCCCAGCCCAGCTGAGCTCTGGTTCCAGAGTCAGCTCTGTGGTTGACCTATAGGTAGGGATCAAATGGTTGCACTGTGGGCAGCAAAGGGCTGACAGGACAGAGCGGGGAGGGAGGGAAGGCCCAGTACATTACGAAAAGCCAGCAAAGGCCCAGCTTGAGCAGCCAATGGCACAAGGATGCCACTGTAACTGACAGACACGCCGGCTGTGCCGCTGGGCCTGCTCTAGTGTGGGGAGTTCTGATCAGCACCAAGAACTGTTTTTTTTTTTCTTTTTCTCTGCTTTGTCCATGTTGAACCAGGCACTCTTTAGAAGCACTGTGTCTGGTTTCTGTCCTCTTCTGCCCTCACTCCTCTCTCATGCCATCCTGGGAAAGTTCTTTCTTCAAAAAGATCTCCCTTCCATAGTCCTCTCATTAGAATCTTTTGGATCCTGTACAGACAGACAAACATTCTGATGAGTCCATCAACATTAGGTGGAATTGTTGGAGACCCAGGGAGATGGGCTACAGGAGTCTCTACACACACACTGGGTGGACTTTCCGGCTCTCAGCACCAAGCTCACTCCTTAGTACTTTGCTCTGTGCTGCCAGGGCTGGACCCTGCGTATTTCTCACGCTCTGTCTCCATCTGGCCTTCTGACCATGAGCAGCACCAGAAAGAGCCTGAGACTACCTTCTGTCTCCAGTCCCTGTCAGCGACTCTCCAGCGACAGGCAACCCGGCTCCAGCCTCTAGCTGCTCTGGGCCTCCCAGTATCAGCCACACCACGCCCTTCAAAAGTCCCAGCACCAGCTGGGGCAGAGGGCGGGGGGCTCCCCTGCAAGTTTCTGGTTTCTCACAGCCCACCTCTTCCGTTTTGTCCTCCAGTTTAAAGAATGGCAGCTGCTTTTTGTGGTTGCTAATCTCTGGGTTATCTCAGCAGCCCTTCTTATGCTGTTTCAGCTTTGTCTGGGTAAACATTTCCTGGTATTAAACTTCGAAAAAACCTACCATGCTTTCTGTTTTCTGAATGGACCCTGACTACATATGTGATTGTATTTATTTACTCATATATGTATTTATAGTTATGTCTTGCTTCATGATGGGAATACATTCTGAGAAATGTGACATTAAGTAATTTTTATGGTTGTGCAAAAAACAGAGTATTTACACACACCAAGGTGCAGCCTACTCCACACCTAGGCTAGGTGAGATAGCCCATTGCTTCTAGGCCAAAAACCTGACAACACATTACTGTTCTGAATACTGTAGGCAGTTGTAATACAATGGTAAGTATTTGTGTATCTAAACGGAAAATACATATAATAAAGTATAGATCAAAAATGTGCTGGGCTCAGTGGCTCATGCCTGTATTCCCAGCACTTTGGGAGACTGAGGCAGATGGATCATGAGGTGAAGATATCAAGATCATCCTGGCCAACATGGTGAAACCTCGTCTCTACTAAAGATACAAAAATTAGCTGGGCATGGTGGTGCGCACCTGTAGTCCCAGCTACTGGAGAGGCTGAAGCAGGAGAATCGCTTGAAACTGGGAGGCGGAGTTTGCAGTGAGCGGAGATGGTGTCACTTTACTCCAGCCTGGGTGACAGAATGAGACTCCATCTCAAAAAAAAAAAAAAAAAAAAGGACAGACAGTAAATACGCAAACCACTAACATAGTCATCAATTATCATTATCAGGTATTAGGTACTGTACATAATTGTGTGTGCTAGACTTTACACAGCTGCCAGTGCAGTGGGTTTGTTCACATCAGCATCACCACAAACGTGGTAATGCCTTGCACTGTGACGTTACGATGGCTGTGATGTCACTTGGCAATAGGAACTTTTTAGCTTCATTATAACTTTATGGACCTTTGTTGTGTATGAGGTCTGTCATTCACTGAGCTGTTGTTATGTGGTGATAACTGTATTTATATATACGCGACCAGTGTTTAAAAAATCAGAAGAGATTTTCAACAAAAGCATAGTAATATGACTGAAATCATTAACACAAAATAAAAAGAAAAAAAGTTTGAGACCAGTCTGGGCAATGTAGGCAAGACCCTGTTTCTACAAAACAACAACAACAATAATAAATAAGTCAGGCATGGTGTGGCATGCCTGTTGTCCTAACTACTCAGGTGCCCAAAGCAGGAGGTTTATTTGAGCCCAGGAGTGCAAGGCTGCAGTAAGCTGTGATCATGCCACTGTACTGCAGCCTGAGTAACAGGAAAACTTGTATCCAAACATCAAAAATGAAAAAATAGATTCAAAAAAATAATTTTTGTATATGGTGCAAGGAATAAATAAAAGTTATTTTGAGGCAGTCGCGTCACGAGGTCAAGAGATTGAGACCATCCCGGCCAACATGGTGAAACCTCGTCTCTACTAAAAATATAAAAATTAGCCAGGTGTGGTGTTGCAGGCCTGCAATCTCAGCTACTCAGGAGGCTGAGGCAGGAGAATCACTTGAACCCAGGAGGCGGAGGTTGCAGTGAGCCGGGATCGCACCACTATACTCCAGCCTGGTGACAGAGTGAGACTCCATCTCAAAACAAAAACAAAAACAAAAACAAAAACAAAAAGTTCACTTCAGAACAAAAAAGTAACCTAGAAAAGGAACGTTAAAATTTTTAAGCTGAGAGAAAATGTACCTCTTTAAACATCTTTATACTGCTCTCCTTTTTACTGGGTGAGAAGATTGAGCTCTTGCCAAGAATGTGGTTATGGCTGGGTGCAGTGGCTCAAGCCTGTAATCCCAGCACTTTGGGAGGCTGAGGCAAGAGGATCATTGGATCCCAGGAGTTCAAGATCAGCCTGGCCAACATAGTGAGACCTTGTCTCTACAAAAAATACAAAAATTAGCCAGGCGTGGTAGCAGGCGCCTGTAGTCCCTGTGATTTGGAAGGCTGAGGCAGGAGAATCACTGGAGCCTAGGAGTTCACATTCCTTGATTAACGAGGCTGAGCATGGTTAAGGTACTCATTAGCTGATTGTGTTCCTTTACCTGTGGATTGCTTCTTTTGTATGTTTGCTTATCTTTTCTGTTGGGGTGCTCATTTCTCTTACCAATTTGTAGAAACTCTCAGCTTCATCATGGATCCGAACCCCTTGCTGTATGTGTCATACACATTTTTGGCTTGTCTTTATTTGCATGGCACACCTAGGAAGATGTGAGTGCCACTGTACCCCTGGTTTGGGGATGGAGAGACAGCTCTTCCAAGAGAAGGCAGCCAGGGTAAAGAAAAACAGAGGAGCAATGGAAAGAGGGTGTCTGTCTTCAGTCACCTCTGCAGGGGGAGCAGTCATGCGCTGAGGAAGAAGTGTATGACTTGGAGATTAAAGGGCTACAGTTCATCCCTTGTTAACTAGGTGACTGTGGAAAAATGGTCTAACCTCTTCAAGGCTCAGTTTCCTCTATAAAAGAGAGGAAGTAATAGTTACTTCATATAGGATCGTTGTGTGCAGTAAATGAGTAAATTCATGTAGAGGACTTGCATCAGGGCCTGGCATCCCATCAGTGTTTGAGCAATGAGCAGTTGACGGTGTGAAACCAATAAAATCACAGGCACCGATGCCTTTTGACGATTTTAAAGGACTATAAACACATAAGTAGCTGTTAGTTTTACACACAGTTATACATGTCACATAAGGTACTAGAAGTCTGTGAAACATTCAGCCGCCCTCTTAGTTCTGAGTTTGAGACTGGAATGCCCTCCGAGAGCGTCAGCTGCCCTCCCACGTTCACTGATTGGCAAAGGGAAATATGGGGGCTGGGATCGGGGAGACTCACTCAGGAGTCCAGACAGCGGCGGGACAACCTGAGTGCTCAGTTGTAAAGAGGAAAGGCAGAATTTTTCCTTGCTATGGCTGCAACAAAGGCACTTTTGATGCTGGAAAACTTCATAGACGGAAAATTTTTACCTTGTAGCTCATATATAGATTCTTACGACCCGTCAACAGGGGAAGTGTATTGCAGAGTTCCGAATAGTGGAAGAGAAGAGGTGAGTGTATGCACTTAAACAAGACTGAAATGTGTTTAATATGTTGGCCAATTATGGGTAACAGTTTTCTAAAGGCAGAGGGAGTTGGGGGGAGATGTAGGATTCTTAAACATATAGAAGGAAGATTCTGGTCCTAAGAAGGTTTACCTTATGACTGGACTGTATGATATGTGGAGCAACTCTCTTACTATATTCAGAAGTAAGTCATTTTTCTAGCTAGCCTAACACAGCCGTGTGTGCAGTTTTTGTTTTTATAATTCTCAAACATTTCCTAATCAGTGTCTGGTACAAAGTATTATTTGTAATGATCACTTTGTTAAATATTTCCTTCTCTCCACCAAGCACTGCTTAAATTTACTGCTATATCCATGGAATTTAAAACAATGTGTAGCTTTCTGGTGCATTGACCAAAACAGAACAATGCACAAAGCAACATAGAAAAAAAAAAAAAAAGAAAAATGTGTAGGTTTACTAAAACAGACAGGCAAAAAACTGTGGGCTTTGTTTTAGATTGTCTTCTTATAATTTGTCGTATCTTCAAAATACGTAGTAAAATAAAATCAATCATTTGAATGATGAAACTCAAAATCAAATTCTCATATATTTTTGGAGTTAAATTTAACAGCATCTTTTTTCTCATTCAAAGTGTTTAATGGTATATGTATTACAATTTTTAGTGATGTAGAGTTAATTTGACTTGGGGAATTTAAAATATTTGATTAGCTATCAATTATTGCACTGAGAATGTAAATATATTGGGAGTGGTAAATGTAACTGATGTATGTGTAGTCATCTAATGCCTTATGGGTTATAATTAGTTCTCTTTAAGGCACAAAGAACTAGATTATTTAAAATATAATTATAGCCTTTATATAAAAATATATATTACATGCAAAGGTTTTTTTTTTTTTTTTTTTAAGAACACTGCTATTTTTTTCTCTTTTGTTAATACTTCACATCTGTCTTGCATTAAAAATAAACCTTTAGACTTAGGGATTAATGTTTGCAAATGTTGGCTAACTCATTGGTTAAATTATAATCTGTAATTTTGTTTGCTTCAAATGACCTAACACAGCTGTGGGAAATCCAGCTTTGTGTTTTCCACTCTTCCTTGTTTGCCAAAGTGGAGTTAAAAATGACAAACATGCCAAATTCAGCTGAAATATTTTCTGCAGCTAATGGCTCATACCTTTTTAGATAATAGAATGAGGTATGGATGCACTAGCTAGTAGAGTAATAGATATGTTCAATTTCTCAGCAATCCAACTTCCAAATATTTGGAAGATGCATTGCTGGCGTGAAAAATATGGTTATCATACAAACCACATGTCCAATTTCCCGAAACATCACTCAGAAAAATGTTGCTGGCACTGCTAACAGTGGCTTCCATTTATTAAGCTTTTGCTATGTGCTTTGCAGTCATTACACCCTTTTAAAAAAATTAAAAAATTGATACATGATAATTGTACATCTTTATGAGCATATGTGACATTTTGATAAATGCATACAGTGTGTCATGATCAGGGTAACTAGGATCTCCATCACATTAAACATTTATCATTTCTTTGTGTTGGAAACATTCAAAATTTTTTCTTCTATTGTGAAATATACAATGAATTATTGTTAACTATTGCCACTCTACTAGAACCTACTCCTTTTAATCATATTTTTGTATTCATTAGCCAACCTAGATCCTCTCCTCTACCCTTCCCAGCCTTTGATAACCATAATTCTACTCTCTACCTCCATGAGATCAACTTTTTTTAGCTTCCACAAATGAGTGAGAACATGTGATATTTGTATTTTTGTGCCTGGCTTATTTCACTTGACACAATATCCTTCAGCTCAAATCGTGTTGCTACAAATGACAGGATTTTGTTCCTTTTTATGGCTAATATTCCATTGTGTGTATATACCATATTTTCTTTTCTTTTCTTTTCTTTTCTTTTTTTTTGAGATGGAGTGTTGCTCTGTCACCAGGCTGGAGTGCAGTGGCGCAATCTCGGCTCAATGCAAACTCCGCCTCCTGGGTTCAAGCAATTCTTCCACCTCAGCCTCCCTCCTGAGTAGCTGGGACTACAGATGTGTGTCACTGTGCCTGGCTAATTTTTTTGTATTTTTAGTAGAGACAGGGTTTCACCGTGTTGGCCAGGATGGTCTTGATCTCTTGACCTCGTGATCTGCCAGCCTTGGACTCCCAAAGTGCTAGGATTACAGGTGTGAGCCACTGTGCCTGGCCTATGCCATATTTTCTTTATCCATTTATCTATTGATGGACATTAGGTTGAGTCCATATCTTGACTATTGTAAATAGTGCTACAATAAACATGGGGTACGGGTATACTGATTTCCTTTTCTTTGGATAAATTCCCAGTAGTAGGATTGCTGGATCACATGGTTGTTCTATTTTTATTTTTTTTTGAGGAACCTTCATATTGTTTTCTATAATGGCGGCGCTAATTTACTTTCCCACCAACAGCATATGCATCTTACCTTTTCTCTGCATCTTCACCAGCCTTCTTTATTTCTTGTTTTTTTGCTAATGGTCATTTTAACTGGGATGAGATGATATCTCATGGATTTCCCTAATTACTAGTGATGTTGAGCATTTTTTAGATACCTATTGGCCATTTGTACATATTCTTTTGTGGAATATCTACTCAGACCATTTGCCCATTTTTAAGTTGGATTTTTTTGGGGGGCTATTGAGGTTATTAATCCCTTGTCACAAGGATAGTTTGCAAATATCTTCTCCCATTTTGTAGGTTCTCTTAACTCTGTTGATTGTTTCCTCTGTTGTGCAGAAACTTTTTAGCTTGATGTTATTTCACGTCTTTTTTTTTTTTTTTTTTGCTTTTGTTGCCTGTGCTTTGAAACTCTTACCCCCAAAAAATCTTTACCCAAATCAATGTCCTGAAGCATTTATCCTATATTTTCTTATAGCAGTTTCATAGTTTTTGGTCTTACATCTATCTAAATTTTCAGTCTATTTTGATTTGATTTGGTGAGAGATAAGGGTCTAGTTTCATTCTTCTGTGTATGGTTATCCAGTTTTCCCAGCACCATATATTGAAGAGACTCTCTTTTCACCAATGCATATTTTTGGCAGCTTTGTTAAAAAAGAGTTGACTGTAAATGTATGGATTCATTTCTGGGTTCTCTATGCTGTTTCATTGGTCTATGTGTCTGTTTTTTATACCAGTGCCATGCTATTTTGGTTACTATAGCTTTGTAGTATATTTTAAGTCTGGTAGTGTGCATCCACTAAGCTCTTTAACATGTATTGTCCAAAGAAGCAAGTTGTAACAACCTAGAAATCTCTGTTATGAAAAAAAAGAAGCAAGTTGTAATAGAAATCTCTATTATGAGATTTCAGATTTCTAGGTTGTTACAACTTGCTTCTTTGGACAATCCATGTTAAATAAGAAATCTTATTTTACAGAGGACAGTGCTAACACTCTCATCTCTGATGCTTAGATTCATGGTCCTATGCACATGTGTGCACACACACATGCACACCTGTGTGCATAGCATATTTGCATTATAGCGTTGCAGTCATAAGCACATACTACAGTCAGACTGCCTGGTTCAAAGACTAGCTCCACCACTTTGTATCTACAGCCTTGACTTAGAGCTGAACTTCCGCATGCCTCAGTCTCCTCATCTTTAAAATGAGGATAATAATGATGCCTACTTTATAGTGTCATTCTGAGGATTAAACAGACTCATATGTGTTAAGCCCTTAGTGCTTTGCATATAGTAAATTCTTTCTATGTATTAGTTTATACTCATATTATTATATATAGTACTTAATATGTATTCTATATTACATGGACATAAGATGTGCTATAAGGCAACTTAGAAAATGTTAGTGAACTTGAATTTTCTGAATAGCAAAAAGATCAGATTTTTACGCTGACTGGAGGAATTCACCCTTTTCTTGCTGGCTGGCAGTGGGGCTTCCTCGTGGCTGTAGCTGGTGGTGGAGGTCACCAAAGCTTGTCCCCCATCCTGTCTGCAGGTCCACATTAGAGATTTACTTTTTGAGGTGAAGCCACCATATTTCTAAATTTCTAATTAAGATGAGAATCATTTGATGCTTTACTTCAGCTCAGCTGAAAGTGACTGTATTAGTTCATTCTCATACTGCTATAAAGATACTACCCGAGACTGAGTGATTTATACAGGAAAGATATTTAATTGTTTCACAGTTCCGCATGGCCTGGGAGGCCTCAGGAAGCTTACAATCATGGCAGAATGGGAAGCAGGCATGTTTGGTGGCAGGTAAGACAGTATGTGAGGCCCAGGAAAAACTATCATTTATAAAACTGTCAGATCTCATGAGAATTCACTCACTATCATGAAAATAGCATGGGGGAAACTGCCCCCACCATCCAATCACTTTCCTCCCTTGACACATGGGTATTATAATTCAAAATGAGATTTGGGTGGGGACACAAAGCCTAACCATATCAGTGACTTTGCACGAGGAAAACGAAGGAGGGGTGCGGGTCAGGTTTTGCATGAGGGCTAGCACAGGCTCAGGCGGCTAGATTGCTTCAGGTCAAGTGCTCCAAGAAAGATGCTTGTGGCCACCAGAAGCTTCTGGAAAAGGATTCTGAGTCTGAGCCAGGGCACAGTGGTGGAAGCCAGCTGTGATTATAATAATTTTTCATTCATGTGAGAAAGGAGAGGAGTGAGATGCGGCTTAGGGATTTGTTATCTCTGGAGAAGATATTACTTAGACATTGCCGGAGAGAAGAGACGAGCAGATAAGGACTTGAAAATTATTTTGCCTACGTCACATTTTGGCCATGAGTTGACCCTGCCTATACCTTCCCATACATATATTGTTTACTTTTGTATGTAACTGTAAAACCAGGTACCCAAGACATCTGTTCAGCCACAAATCTCCTCTTCTTCAATAAGGTGTTTCCACTGGGCACAACCAGGCAGCAGGCAGAGCAACCTGTGGTCCTGGGAACCACCAAAATCTGGGGCTGAGTCCTGATTCTGCCACTTACTAGCTACGTGACCTCTGGCAAGTTACTTTCTTGTGGCTCCGTTTTTTCATCTGTAAAAGGGGCATAGCAATACTCATTAGCATGTTCCATTATATAAAAATTAGTCATAAGTTCTGAATATAATTAGTTATTTCAAATGAAAATGACAGTCTGAGGATGCGATTTCACCCAAAATTTTAGACCTTATATGTCACAGCTGAGTTAGGAGCTTTAGAGATTCCACATACCTCGATTAATTTTATTCTTCTACACTATATATATTGTATATACTATATATTACACATACTATATATTATATATCATATATATTACATCTATATTACATATATCCTATATATATTATATATGTATAACATATACATTTTTTTTGAAACAGGGTCCAACTGTGTCACCTAGGCTGGAGTGCAGTGGCACAATTACAGCTCGCTACAGCCTCTACTTTCTGGGCTCAAGTAATCCTCCCACCTCAGCCTCCTGAGTAGTTGGGACTACAGGCATGTACCACCATGCCCAACTAACTTTAAAAAAAAAGTTTATGTAGAGACAGGGTGTCACTATGTTGACCAGGCTGATCTTGAACTCCTAGGCTCAAGTGATTTTCCCAATCCAGCCTCCCAAAATGCTAAGATTAGAGGCATGAGCCACCACTCCTGGCCCACAATATTTTAAAAATTCTAGTTTCTGAAGTGATTGATTGAAAATATACATCTGTTAAAATTCAAATAGCTTCTTTCTAATAATCCGATTGCCACATTCTGGATGCATTGGTTGAAATGGAGTGTGTTTGTTTATTTCTGTGATACCTCTCCTTTGCTGGTCATGTAAACACCTGTGTCATGTACTTTGTGGGTGGCTCAGCACTGGGACATATTGAATATTCAAAATTAGATGTGGGTGGGGCATGGTGGCTCACGCCCATAATCCCATCACTTTGGGAAGCCGAGGCAAGAGGATCACTTGAATTCAGGAGTTCGAGACTAGCCTAGCCAACGTGGTGAAGCACCGTTTCTACTAAAAATACAAAATTAGCTGGGCATGGTGGCAGACGCCTGTAATCCCAGCTACTCAGGAGGCTGAGGTGGGAGAGTCGCTTGAATGCCAGAGGCAGAGGTAACAGTGAGCCAAGATCGTGCCACCACACTTCAGGCTGGTCTACAGAGTGAGACTCCATCTAAAAAAAAAAAAAATTAGGTATGTGGGGACCTGAGGATTCTGGTTCCATCCATTCCCTCAGGAGTAACAGCTTTAAGGTGACCCTCTCTCCCATTTGCTCTTCAAAGATCGAAGCTGCGGTCAAGGCCGCCAGAGAAGCCTTTCCCAGCTGGTCATCCCGGAGCCCCCAGGAGCGCTCCCGGGTCCTGAACCAGGTGGCGGATTTGCTGGAGCAGTCCCTGGAGGAGTTTGCTCAGGCCGAATCTAAAGACCAAGGTAAGAGTTACCTCTTAATTGTAACACGGGACTCAGGGCATCTCTGATTATTCACATTATCCCTCCTGGGGCCACTGGGCCAGCCCATGCATCTACTCCTCTGGCAATGGTAGGAGTAGAGAGCAAACCCTCCCCTGCTCCAGGCCTGGGAAGGCAGGACTTGCAGCCGGCCCGTCCCTGCCTCATTCGGGTGGCCAGAGAAAGTCACATGGCTGAATCCAAAAGCGGAGGGGCAAAGAAATATACTCCGACCACTGGATGAAAGGAAATGCAAATATATACAGCAAAGGGCATGGATATAGGGAGAGATGAAGAACTAGGGCTGATCATGTAGTCTCCTACTCATCCTAAGCAGAGAATTTCAAAGTAAAGATAATCCGAAAAGCAGTGACACAGTCAGATTATTTAGGATGTTTTCTGATATATCAGTAACCATTCTACTCCCGACACATTTTCTCATTTTTTTTTTCCCACTTTTTCCCAGAGGTCAGGGTAATGGAGTAAATACCTGTAAGTTTTTGCAAGAATATCTGTTAGGATAAGCCAAGAGTTTTTTTTTTTTTTCTTTTTTCTTTTTTTTTTTTTTGAGACCAAGTCTTACTCTGCCACGAGGCTGGAGTGCAGTGGCAGGATCTCGGCTCATTGCAACCTCCGCCTCCTGGGTTCAAGCGATTCTCCTGCTTCAGCTTCCAGATAGCTGGCACTACAGGTGTGTGCCACCACATCCAGATAATTTTTGTGTTTTTAATAGAGACGGGGTTTCACCATGTTAGCCAGGATGGTCTCGATCTCCTGACCTTGTGATCTACCTACCTTGGCCTCCTAAGAGAGTTTTAAAAATTACATGTGTGCTATAAACCAACCAAAAAATTAGGAAGCACTCTGAGTCCAAGCCCTTAGAACAAAAAAAGTTCTCTGCTGGTGTTCCTGGCGGGTCTCCCTGCATTGCTAAAGAGATAACAGTCCAGGTCAGCTTATGTTTCACTTTCTGTTCTATCCAGGAGTTAGGATGAGCAGGGCATGTGATGGGTGAGCAGGTGACACACAGCATCCCATGCCAGGGCGTTCCCAGCTGTCCTTCTGATGACTCTACCATGTGTTGGAATGTCATGAAACACACATCACATGTGTATAAAAGGGTTTTGTTTTGTGATGTGCAAATATGACTGTCCTAACCCCCATATTTCAATGCCTTTGTCACAGGTACAAAGCTTGGTGATTTTGAATTGCTAAAGTTTGTGTGGGTGAAGTGGTAGCATCTGGCAAATTCATGATGAGAATCATGTGTTCAGTCCTATAAAACAAAGATTATGGACTCAGCTTAACCTCCCACCTCAGTTTCCAACCTTATAGCTAAATATTCTATGGTTTTATCAAGCCATGATCAACTCTTTGTGAGGTCAAGGAATGCCTGCCCCACGCTAAAAGGAATCCTGGCCATTTCAGTGTGAGTGGGAACGGGACATGTGTGCGGTGAAAGCCGACAGAGTGCCTCCATTAGCCAACAGTGCTTTCTGTTGCTTGCTTCTTACAGGGAAAACCTTAGCACTGGCAAGAACCATGGACATTCCCCGGTCTGTGCAGAACTTCAGGTTCTTCGCTTCCTCCATCCTGCACCACACGTCAGAGTGCACGCAGATGGACCACCTGGGCTGCATGCACTACACAGTGCGGACTCCCGTGGGAGTCGGTAGGTGGCCTTCAGTGAGCGCCCGCCTTCCGGTTCTGCTTGCAGATGCTCGCAGCGTGCTATAGCATTATCCTCAAGGAACAGGCCAAGGAAAAGGAAGAGCTGATATTTTTCTTTTACCTAAAATCTATTGGTCTCAAAAATCTATTTCTAGTATGCTTTCTTTGTGTTAAATTCCCTACTTTATTTATTTTATTTATTTATTCATTTTGAGACGGAGTTTTGCTCTTGTTACCCAGGCTGGAGTGCAATGGCGCGATCTCGGCTCACCGCAACCTCCGCCTCCTGGGTTCAGGCAATTCTCCTGCCTCAGCCTCCTGAGTAGCTGGGATTACAGGCACGTGCCACCATGCCCAGCTAATTTTTAGTATTTTTAGTAGAGACGGGGTTTCACCATGTTGACCAGGATGGTCTCGATCTCTTGACCTCGTGATCCACCCGTCTCGGCCTCCCAAAGTGCTGGGATTACAGGCATGAGCCACCGCACACGGTCCCCTACTTTAATTTTTTTTTTTAAGACGGAGTATCGGTCTGTCACCCAGGCTGGAGTGCAGTGGTGCGATCTCGGCTCACTGCAACCTCAGCTTCCCGGGTTCAAGTGATTCTCCAGTGAGCCACCTGAGTAGCTGGGACCACAGGCGTATGCCACCATGCCCAGCTAATTTTTGTATTTTTAGCAGAGACAGGGTTTCATTATGTTGTCCAGGCTGGTCTCGAACTCCTGACTTCAAGTGATCCTCCCATCTCGGCCTCCCCAACTACTGGGATTACCAGCGTGAGCCACCACACGGGGCCTCATGTTCCCAATTTATTCCTGGAATATTGTCTTGGAAAAACATAGGGGAAAGAATGATGCTATGAGTAAATATGTAAATACACATACCAGGATTTTTTTTTTTCTACCTATAATTTAAAAAGGAAAAATCAGTCTGGGCTCAGTGGCTCACACTTGTAATCCCAGCACTTTGAGAAGCCGAAGTGGGCTGATCATCGGAGGTCAGGAATTCAAAACCACCCTGGCCAACATGGAGAAACCCCGTCTCTACTAAAAACACAAAAATCAGCCAGGGTGGTGGTACAAATCTGTAATCCCAGCTACTAGGGAGGCTGAGGCAGGAGAATCTCTTGAACCTGAGCTTGCAGTAAGCTGAGATGGTGCCACGACACTCCAGCCTGGGCAGAAGAGAGAAACTCCATCTCAAAAAAAACCCCAAAAAACAGAAAAATTATCCTTTAGAATTGTGTGGGGAAGTCACTTAACTTCTATGTGCTTCAGTATCTTATATGAAAATCTAGAATAATAATTTACTTTCATCGACATATATGTATATTAAATAAATTAGTAAGTGTAGGGCATGTAGGATAGTGCCAGGTATGTGATAAATAAGCCCGAACTGAGAATTATCTTACTTCATGCATGCCTGCTTCTTGACCTTTGGAGGAACTTTAAGTGTCTGCAATGACTAAAACTTTCCACTAGATGCCACTGTTTCATCGGAGGAAAAAAAAAAAAAACCCCTCTAATTTGTTCTATTTTATGAATACAAGTTAAAAGGAAAAAAATTGTGACATCTTTTTGTTTTGGTTCTTTGAACCCTTCAGAAATTATGTTCTCAAGACATTGTGGAAAGGTCTACTTTCTCCTAAGAAGTATATTAATAAGTTTTACTGCAAAAATACTGTTATTCCCTAAAGAATGGATTTTTCAATGGGAAATTTAATAATATAAAAGATGCATTTGCTTTCATAGCACAGGCTTGGGGCAAGAGTATAAAATAAGGTGAATGCATTTCCATTCAGAAGGTAGATTTTTATATTTGTGCGTTTTGTGGTTGGAAACCTGGATAGTTTCAGAACATTGCATGGAGACACATTCCAGATGCTGGTTACGTTACTTATCCAGCAAACCTATCTGGTCAGGATACACGTGACAATCTAGACTAGAGAATTTTTCTTTAAAAATCTAAATAGTCAAAATGGATGGCATCACAATCCATGCGCCAAAGGTTATGGGCTTTACTGATAGGAGGGCCCTCATAAGGAACACTCGGAACCTACTGGCCCCTATTTTATGAATAATTACATAAAGCTTGAGATCTTATGTCCCAACCCACAACAAATTTGAAATAAAAGTAAAGAAACTTGTTAGAAAAAATAGCAACTGGACAGATAAAATAATGAGGAAGGAGACGTTTTTGAAAAAAGTAAAGCTCAGTCTATAAATCTCAAAATGCATCACATTCTGGAACTGCTTAGTGACAGGTGACCACTTTTTTATTTTTTATTTTATTTTTTTTTAAGTTCAGAGGTACATGTGCAGGTTTGTTACATAGGTAAACACGGACCACGGTGGTTTGCTTCACCCACCAATCCATCACCTAGGTGTCAAGCCCAGCATGCATTAGCTCTTTATCCTAATGCTCTTCCCGCTGACCCCACCCGCTAACCCCACAGGCCCCAGTGTGTGTTGCTCCTTTCCCTGTGTCCGTGTGTTCTCACTGTTCAGCTCCCACAGATAAGTGAGAACATGCAGCGTTTGGTTTTCTGTTACTGTGTTAGTTGCTGAGGATGATGGCTTCTACCTTCATCCATCTCCCTGCAAAGGACATGATCTCATTCCTTTTTATGACTGCATAGAAGTCCATGGTGGGTATGTACCATATTTTCTTTATCCAGTCTATTATTGATGAGCATTTGGGTTGATTCCATGTCTTTGCTATTGTGAATAGCAAAGTGCTGCAATGAACATACGTGTACACGTATCTTTATAATAGAATGATTTATATTCCTTTGGGTAAGTGATAGGTCAACTCTTTAGCTCTGGAGTTTATGTTGCTATTGTTCATAATCATGAGCCATTAAGAAATGAGTAAATCATATTGACTTTACTCTGTTTTAAAAGATACAGTTGCTTTAAATATATTTCAGAATTATTTCCCTGAAGGTGACTACAAATAAGCAAAGCTTGGGAAGAAGTTAGAGGAATAAGCTAAGTTTCCTACAGCATGGAGTTGTGCATTAATAACCCCACTTGGCTAGTCCACCTCAGAGGGGTATGCCGTCACTAGCAGTGCTTCTTTCATCCCTTAGCTGGTCTCATCAGCCCCTGGAATTTGCCCCTCTACTTGCTGACCTGGAAGATAGCTCCAGCGATGGCTGCAGGGAACACTGTGATTGCCAAGCCCAGTGAGCTGACGTCAGTGACTGCGTGGATGTTGTGCAAACTCCTGGATAAAGCAGGTAACTAGGTGTTGGGGTTGGGGGACAAGCACAGAGTTGAAGCGAAGTTATAGTTTATGCATCACAATCGATTCCAGCGATATCTTGGGCTTTGTCTTTCCGATCCTGTTCTGAGAAATCCCTTGCACCCACAGGGTTCCCTCACCCTGCTTCATGTCTTCAGGCCAGTTCCATTCCCCAGGGTGGGTGACTGGCAGCGCAATAATGACACAGACTTAAACAGCTCGATCAAATCCAAGACACCAGCCCGCTCCAGAGAGTCTATTTAAATTTAAGTTGGAATCTCAAGTTAAACTTGATGACAGTAAGAATATTGCTAGGTACACCTATGGTTTGCTTAGCTATAGAACACCTTGTAGAAGTAGCCTGATTTCAAGAGATGGACACATACATCTTTCAGTTTTCCCTGCCTTAGGGACTGCTACTGGAAAGCTGATACAACAGGGTCTTTTCCTCACACATCAAGGCTCACGTGTTCGCTCCTTGTTCTTTTTCTGCTAATAGTTTATTGTCTGCATTCAGGGTTTTGTTTTTGGGGGGTAGCTCCCCACAGGAACAGGCTGGCACTGTTTGAAGGTAGCAGGCAGGAGACCGCAGCAGCCCCAGTGTGAGAAGTCCCCTTAATGTGAAGTATTTTGGCTATGTCACCCCATAGCCAGGGCAGGAGTGACGGCGGAGTAGTGGAGACAGACTCACCGTCTTTCTAGCTGAGTCCTTGCTGCCTCGCAGCCCACAGAGAGGCACTGCTGGGCTCTCCTGTATCCACAGAATGCCTCATGGGTAAGAGTCCATTCCTCGCTCTTGCTTTGGAACACCTTTCTTTGAAGCCCAGACATACACGTTAGCTTCTAGTAAACCCTAGCCAGTTCTTTACTCCACAAGGAAGATGATGGCTTAAAACGGAGGCTGTTTAGGGAATGGCATTGGGCCTTAGGATTCCAGGGTCCTGCAGAGGAATGAGACCTCCCAGCCTGGGACTCTGAGTTTTCATCTATGGCACTCTGAGGCTTCGAGGCAGAGCGGGGGTCGGGGGTGGGGGGTGGGGTATGTGATTTAAACGACCCAACCCTTCCCATGTTCCTCTGCTGCAAAAGACCCCACAGTCTAATCCCATTCTTTGTAAAATGAAGTCCTTGCTGTCTGCAAAGGCACGACGTATTTCTTCCCTGCCTGGTGACTGCAGGTTCCCTAGAGTGGACTAGGCCTGGGGCTTATCCTCTACTGGGACTTGGAGGCAGGGCTGGCGCCACAGACCCATGTGCCCTTAACCACTGTCTCCTGAGACCAAGCACATCTGGATCCAAGATGAGTTATCCTTCCCAACCAGTCTGCCCTGAGCCTGGTGCACATGAGAGTTTTCTGTTTCCATCCCTTTGCACAGCTTTGATCTTATTTCTTGTGAACTAAGAAGCCCATTAAACTAAACTAGCCTGTCTCTCCTTTCCTCCATGGGCTGACTTTGCTGAACCTTCCTCCCCCGACAAATAGAGAGATTGTCATGTTCACTTTGCTCCTCTCTTGAGCCCTCAGTTTCTCCACTGGGATTGGGAGGAATGCGAACCACATCTATGTCATCTGCTTTAGAGCAATGTAAGAGAAGATTTTAGCAGGGGAGGGAAAAGCGAAAATAACTAATTCATTCTGGACGTTTAAAGAGCTAGCTCCTCTAGTCCTGGGCATTTAAACAGACCTGACAGATAACCTTCCTTTGAAATAAAATCATTTTTAAAAGGACACAGTAGGTTGGGTATGGTGGCTCCTACCTGTAATCCCAACACTTTGGGAGGCTGAGGTGGGTGGATCACCTGAGGTTGGAAATTCGAGACCAGCCTAGCCTACATGATGAAACCCCGTCTCTACTAAAAATACAAAAATTAACTGAGTGTCGTGGTGCGCCCCTATAGTCCCAGCTGCTCAGGAGCCTAGGCGGGAGAATCACTTGAACCCAGGAGACAGAGTTTGCAGTGAGCTGAGATTGTGCCACTGCACTCCAGCCTGGGAGACAGCAAGACTCCATCTCAAAAAAAAAAAAAAGGACACAGTGAATACTTCTATGGGGTTCCTGGAATAGTCATTTTCTTCTTGGGGGGGAGGGTGCCAGATATTTGCCCTCATTCCTGCAGTACCCACTGACTGCATTTTCCTGGCCCTTCCCAACAGGTGTGTGGGGGTGGTGGGGAGATGAGGGATGTGTGTGCGTTGCGTGTTTTGGGTGGGTGGGTGTGCTCTATGTAAGCCTAAAATTCTTCTTGCTGCCACCCTGCCAAGCCCTGGCATTTGAGGGGCTTCCTTCTTGTCTGTTCTTATCTGTTCCTAACTTGTCTGTGAGCCACCTCCCCTGAGTTTTGCTAAATTGCTATTTATCCTTTAAACTGTTTTCCTTCCCTTATCACCAGAATCTCTTCAGGGTTATAGGGCAGAGAGCTTGAGAAAAATTCCATTCTCTTGAGAAAAATTCCATTAATTTCTGGATAAAATGTCAAAATGGTCCCGAAAAATAATGGGCAGCCGACATTAGCATCCAAGCCCAGGGGAACGTAATGCAAATGTTAATGCGTCGTGGGCAAGGCAATCCGCTGCGGCAGCGAGCTCATTTTACTGGGGGATAAATGTGCAGTGCTTCTGTGTTCTCTCTCACCCTCGGCTAAAATGCTACTGTGAACATTAGCAGTGATTCCATCGATGTTTTGCCTTCAGGGTTGATAAAAAGCCTCATAGTCCCCGCCTCCTGCACCACACCGCATCCACCCACATGCACGCCCGGTCATCGGTGGAGATGCAGGGCCCCATCCAGAAAACTGGGGGAAACTTGTCCTTGTTTTCGTCTCATCATCTACTGGGAGGGCTTCTCCTTCCACATTTTGCTTTGCCCCAACCCAGAGCTGGGGTGCTCTCATAGGGTGTGGCCACTCCTCTGACAGTGACCTACAGTCCGGGACTGACCTAAGCTAGATTTCAACAAATGTGCATGTTGGGTACAGAGATGCAACCTTTAGAAGTGGGACTCTGGCCGGGTGCAGTGGCTCCCGCCTGTAATCCCAGCACTTTGGGAGGCCAAGGTAGGCAGATCACCTGAGGTCAGGAGTTCAAGACCAACTTAGCTGACATGGTGAAACCCTGTCTCTACAAAAATGCAAAAATTAGCCAGGCGCGATGGCAGGTGCCTGTAATCCCAGTTACGCAGGAGGCTGAGGCAGGAGAATTGCTTGAACCTGGGAGGCAGAAGTTGCAGTGAGCTGAGATCGAACCATTGCACTACAGCTGGGTGACAGCAAGACTCCATCTCGAAAAACAAAAAAAGAAAAAAGCAGAAGTGGGGCTCTGCCAGGCACCATCACAACTTATGGAACCTTCCGACCTGTCTCCTGAGGACTCACTGGCATGGGGCCTTCGCTGTAGCTTCAAGGTGATTGGGCCAAGGCTGTGGCTCTATGGGAGAATGTTCTGGATGATAATGGATCATCAATGTGAAATTAGTATACATATGATTTATAATTTAAACATGGATTCTGGAAGAGATGGGTTGTATTTAAGGGAGTATGTTTCTAACGAGGAGAGAGTCTCTAACCTGGAGCAAAGAGAAGGAAACCAGAAGCAAGGGAGCAGGTCACAAAGCTATCAAGATGCTGGAAGATTTCTACACCTACCGTAGGTCAGGCCTGAGGACATAGAGGGAATAAATTCTGCTACCTTCAGGTAGCAGAAACCCTAGGAACTGCCTAGACACAGCATGACTATACAGATGACTTTCTTTTTGAACATTATAACGATGATTTTCTTTTTAAAGCTTCCCCCATTCATGAACCATTTCTAATTTGAATAATGTACACTAAGCATTCATTCACTCATTCATTTACTTAACAATCATTAACCTGTTGGCTTTGCTACTTCCTGGTTGTTATATAATCTCACTTTGCCTCAGATTTCTTACTGGTGAATTAAGCCTAATAAAACTACCTACCTTCTAAGGTGGTTGTGAGGTCTGAAGGGTGTGAATCACTGATAGCAATGGGGAGTCTAGGCTGGCCATCCTGCAGGCTGGGAAGAGTAGCCTCTGCCCAAAGCGGAGAACAAGTACCTGGAGGAAGGGTAAAGGGAACAGAAATGTATGCAGATCAGGGTGGCTGAATATTCATATTCAGTAAGATGTAGGAGGAGTCATGAATATTTATGAAAGGAGAAACAGGGGCATGCCCAGTTGAGCTTCATGTGTCTTCACTGGATCACATGCTCAAAAAATGGCAGCCTTAGCATGATCCGAGGGTGGAGTTTTTGGCCATCTGATATCAAAAGGTGAAGCAGAGGACATGAAAATGCTCACTGTGTATCCTCAGCAAGTCAGCCAAAACCAGTCCTGAGATGGTGGTTAGTTTTCAGGAAGGGATGCGTTGTGAAACTGGTGAGCTGTCACCTCGAAACTGCGAAGAGGGAGAAAAATTTGGTCGCAGTTTTAGATAGTTAGCTAGAAGCGATAGAGGAATGAGTTGTTCATTTCTTGTGTTTTAAAGCTGGTTTCTGCTTACACTCAGGAAAGAATTCTGGTTAAAGGTTAATAAAGAAGGGTCATATTGTGGCATGTTTGACCTCCCATTCCATCATGATTGGGGACTGAGTTTTTAAGGTTTCTCTGGGATCCTTGTGGCCAAGAGAGGGTCCATTCAGTCAGTTGGGGGAGCTTAGGATTTATTTTTATTTCTCAGTGCCAGACTAGGCTGTGGCACAGTGTATACAACGGAGAGCAAAGAACAGATCCTGTTTCTGCCCCTTAGCTAGTGTACTTTCTTTCTTTCTTTTTTTTTTTTTTTTGAGACGGAGTTTTGCTCTTATTGCCCAGGCTGGGGTGCAATGGCGCGATCCAGCTCACTGCAACCTCCACCTCCCAGGTTCAAGCGATTCTCCTGCCTCAGCCTCCCAAGTAGCTGGGATTACAGGCATGTGCCACAATGCCTGGCTAATTTTTTTACACTTTTAGTAGAGACGGAGTTTCTCCATGTTGGTCAGGCTGGTCTCAAACTCCTGACTTCAGGTGATCTGCCTGCCTCGGCCTCCCAAAGTGCTGGGATGACAGGCATGAGCCATCACGCCCAGCCATTAGTGTACCTTCTAGTTGTGTGCAGGCAGTGAACAAGTAAGTCCAGAAAACACATGCATAGGCTGGGCGCGGTGGCTCATGCCAGTAATCCCAGTACTTTGGGAGGCCGAGGCAGGCAGATCACTTGAAGTCAGGAGGTCAAGACCAGCCTGGCCGACACAACGAAACCCCCTGTCCACAAAATACAAAAATTAGCCGGGCGTGGTGGCATGTGCCTGTAATCCCAGCTACTTGAGAGGCTGAGGCAGCAGAATCACTTGAACCCAGGAGGCGGAGGTTGCAGTGAGCTGAGATGGCATCTCTGCACTCCGGCCTGGGCGACAGAGCCAGAATCTATCTCAAAATAAATAAATAAATAAATAAATAAATAAATAAAAGGAAGAAACATGCATAAATGCACAAAGATACAGGGTAGCAGAGTCTTGTGATAGAAAAGATTGGGTCACCCATTTTTGGTTGTTGGTGGTACTTGTAAGTTGGCCCTACAATGTTATGACACTCTTTATACGGATGGTGCACGAGACTTCCAACCTGAAACCCACCCACCCTGCCCTGCTCCCCTGGGCCAAGATAGTCTCCTCTTTGCACCTCTGCAGCATGTATACACTTCTCTACTTAATGTTTTCACACTGCACTGTGACTCCTGGACACGAAGATGGAGCAGGGTGCTGCTCCCCTAGTGGGCTTGACCTGCCTGAGACTCTCTCTGCATCCTCAACCCCTAAGGTCTAGTCAGTATTATGGAATGAATTGTCTAAAATGTGTTCCATCCTACATCTCTCTAGGGCAAAGCACCCAGAGGAATCCCACCTGGTGTGTACTGTGGGCAGAGGTGACTCTGTGGTTTTTTGCTTTGCTATTAAACCACAGGCAGCCATAAAAGTTCGAAGTGTTGTAAAACCCAATTGCTTCCTCTGTCCCTACCCACCCCCATTCAAGCGATTGGACTTCGAAGGAGAATTTCCATGGCACTTGAACTCTTCAACATACTGAGGAGAATTACTATAACTGATACTGTTTCCTATCCAGGTGTTCCACCGGGTGTTGTCAATATTGTGTTTGGAACTGGGCTCAGGGTGGGTGAGGCCCTGGTGTCCCATCCAGAGGTGCCCTTGATCTCCTTCACCGGAAGCCAGCCCACTGCCGAGCGGATCACCCAACTGAGCGCTCCCCACTGCAAGAAGCTCTCGCTGGAGCTGGGGGGCAAGAATCCTGCCATCATCTTTGAGGACGCCAACCTGGATGAGTGCGTACCAGCAACCGTCAGGTCCAGCTTTGCCAACCAGGTATGTCCCCGGGGGTTCTTCTGCCTTCCCTCCGTGGGCCTGTCAAGCTGGATCTGTTTCATCACAGTGCAATGTCTGGGAGCGAGCAGGTCAATCCAGTGCCATTTCCGTGAAAGCAGAATCAGTACATTGTGTGATTCTATTAACTCTCCGCTCAATTTTAGCATTAATTCGTGGCCCTGTAGAGTCTTCGGTTCAGCAAATTCCTTTTCTTGAGTTGCACAACTTTTATCAAGTACCAGCCGTGGGTGGAATGATTGATTTTGCTGCTCCAAGCATCTCCATTTCTTTATTTATGCAGTTGCCTGGCTTGTCTTTTATTCTTTTCTTAAACTCTGTCTTTGCTTGTGGTCCAATTGTCCGATTCCCAATAAAAAACCTTACTGTCATTTCAGAAGTATTTCAAATGCACTCACACACACACTGATCTAACTACCTGAAACTGACTAGAGAAGATTTCTCAGCCTGGATTCATGGATCAGCTTCAGGGTATTGCTGTAGCTCCTGAAATTACATAACAGCTATTTCTCTGGCCTCTGTGGTTTTTGTCAGATTCTTTAAGGCTGTGGCATTCCAAAGAGTTAAGAACACTAGACCAGGCCGGGCGCAGTGGCTCACGCCTGTAATCCTAGCACTTTGGGAGGCCGAGGTGGGTGGATCATGAGGTCAGGAGATCGAGACCATCCTGGCCAACTGGTGGAACCCTGTGTCTACTAAAAATACAAAAATTAGCTGGGTGTGGTGGCGCATGCCTGTAGTCCCAGTTACTCAGGAGACAGAGACTGAGACAGGAGAACCGCTTGGACAAAGAAGGCAGAGGTTGCTCTGAGCTGAGATTGTGCCACTGCACTCCAGCCTAGCAACTGGAGTTGACTCCATCTAAAAAAAAAAAGGTGGAGGGGGGGTACACTAGACCAAATAAACAGCAGGCTGCAAGAAGATGGGAACTGTGCCTGCTTTTATGTGGTATTTTCAGTGCCAATGCTTAGAATACCACCAAGGATATAGCACGTGTACATAAACACTGGATGATTTTCTTCAAAGGATATTTTTATTTTAACAGAGAATAAAAACATAGGCCAAAGTCTTAGAACTTCATAGAAGGAAAGAGCAGTGAGAGAGATAATCTGTATTGACCTAACTCAGGTAACATTGAATATTGCATAAACTTTTGAACATGCATTGCTTTGCTAATAAAATCATGTGAACAATAATGATGTCTTCTAACAGGGTTTTTATGAGTATAGAGTGAAAAATGTTACTTTCAATTATTATCTTCATGATAATTCTAAGTGTAATTATTTCTCTCACTGTAAATCCTAAAGGAAGTAGCTAGAAATATAGTTTCTGGATCAATAGACAATACTTTTACAATATAACTAATTTAATCATTAAGCAAGTTTCAAGTGAACAATGAAGCCAAGTGTTTTGATGGCTTAGAGATAACAACAGAAGGCAAATTTTGTGGTCTGAGAAACTAATATTAAAGAAAGATGAACTCAGTATTAAACAAATTCTGCGGGGCTGGGCACAGTGGCTCACATCTGTAATCCCAGCACTTTGGGAGGCCAAGGTGGGTGGATCACCTGAGGTTAGGAGTTTGAGACCAGCCTGGCCAACATGGCTAAGGCCTGTCTCTACTAAAAATACAAAAATTAGCCAGGTGTAGTGGCGGGTGTCTGTAACCTCAGCTACTTGGGAGCCGAGATAGGAGACTCTCTTAAACTGGGGAGGCAGAGGTTGCAGTGAGCCGAGATTGCACCACTGCACTCCCGCCTGGGCAATAAGAGCAAGACTCTGTCTCAAAAAGCAAACAAACCAAAAACAAAAACAAAAATCAAAACAAATTCTGGGCCAGATGCGGTGGCTCATGCCTGTAATCCCAGCACTTTTGGAAGCCAAGGCAGGCAGATCACCTGAGGTTGGGAGTTCGAGACCAGCCTGACTAATATGAAGAAACTCCGTTTCTACTAAAAATACAAAGATTAGCTGGATGTGATGGTAAATGCCTGTAATCTCAGCTACTCAGGAGGCTGAGGCAGGAGATTGCTTGAACCTGGGAGGCGGAGGTTGCAGTGAGCCGAGATTATGCCATTGCACTCCAGCCTGGGCAACAAGAGTGAAACTCTGTCTCAAAAAAAGAAACAAAATAAAACAAAACAAAACAAATTCTGAGCATGAAGATAAGAAGTGTAAGCTTCTCTCTTACCAGAATTTTGTGAGGATTTGAGTCTGCCCAGAGAACCTTCCTCTTGGAGGTGTTTTAAAATGTCAATGCGGAAAGAGACATACACCTAACAAATTGGCTAATCCAAGGTCACAGTGGATTTTAGGCAAAATAAATAAAGCTGCTTGATATAGCTGAGTGAAGAATTCCATGTAGTGCATATTTCTTCCTTACTTGAATGTAGCTGGCTCTTCTGAAGCATCTGTGTGTGACCTTGGGCATGCATTAATTCAAAACTCCTTTTCCTAACTCTAAACTGGGAAAGCTAACAGACCACAGAATTGTAATGAGGAAAGCACCCTGCACAGTGTCTGGTTTGATAGGCACTCCACAAACGATACTTTCTTACTTTCTTACTCTCTCCAAAGTCTTCCTTCTGGGCATCTTGGTATGCTTACCAACGCTTTCTGGGCACTGAGCAACAGGGAACTGGGTAAACTCCTCTAGCTTCTTCATTACGCTCTCCTTCCCTGATGTCACAGGGAACTTGTGCAAATGAAACTATCAAGTGTTTCGACATTTCCCAAGCTAGATATGGAGATGATCCTAGCAGTGATCCTGGTTGCGGAAAGAATGTATTATTTCTAAAACATTAACGGTTTAATCTGGACAATGAACCTTTGTACAAATACCAAGACAATCAGGAGCCTTTTATTTCCTAGGATTGTTGTGAAGGCCAAACACAAACATGGTGAAAATACTTATGCATTTACGTACTTGTCAAGCATAAACAATGCTTTGAAAGTCTAGAATGTGGTTTGTAAATTGTTACGTGCTATAGCCAGATGATAGGGTTATTTTTCACTGAGAAGTCTGTCATAACCCTTCCCCTGCACACCGAGCGTCTCTATTTGATGTCTGTGAGGCGTCTGAAACCCCGTGTGTTCAAGCCCAGCTCTCGTTTCCCTCCCTCCCCTTCCTTCCCACCTCGTGTCTGCCTTTCCAGGGAACAGCACCACCATCCACTCCGTGGCCTACTCTTGTTCTTGCCCTCTCTTTGCATCAACAGGTCTTATTGGTTCTGTCTTTAGGGGATATCCTGAATCCCATCACTTCTCCAGTGCATCTGTGCCAGCTCCATCACACGTTGGAGGTCCCGTGCCCCTGGAAGAATCTGTTGAACTCAGTGGGTCCTTGTCACTCCTCTGCATTTCCATGGATGCCTCCTTGGTCCAAACTACCTACACACATCTGCACTTCTGGAATATTCTCTTAACTCCTCTGCTCTGTTCCCACACTTGTTTCCTTCCATCCTATTTTCCCACGGCTGCCAGAACGAGCATATTAAAATGTCAATCTAATCATATTATTCTGCTGCTTAAAACCCTCCCTTTTTTTTTATGCTATTGAGAATAAAACGTAATCTCCTCATGAACCTACGGGACTGCACGATAGAGCCTTGCCAGCCTCCTGACCTCTCCTACCATGCGCCTCCTGTCCCTGCCTCCTCCAGCCTCAGCCCCACCTACCTCCTTGCTTTTTCCTCATGCACAGCAGCTCATTCCTGCTGCAGGTCTTCTGTACTTACTCTGGAGAGTTCCCCACCTCCAGATCTTTTCCTGTCTCCTTGACATCCGTCAGGATTCCATGCAAATATCCCCTCTTTGCAAGTGCCCTCCATTACTCCCTTTTGTAAAATAGCTGCCCCTGTCCCTGCTATCAGTTTCTAGTCCCATCCTCTGCTCAATTTTCTTTTATGGCTTTGATCACAACCTGAAGCTTTATTATTTATCGAGTTTATTTACTTGCGTTTTTGATTGTCTTTCCCGCAAGGCTCTGTGTTCCTTGGTGGAGACTTTGTCTTATTTACACCGTACCCCGTTGCCTAGACCAGTGCCTGATCACGGCAGGTGCTCAAAAGTGCGAGGTGCTCTATTCATGAAGGAGAGTGTTCTCAGCCTTGTCACTGCTCTCATTCTTGGCAGGGTGAAATCTGCCTCTGTACCAGCAGGATCTTTGTCCAGAAGAGCATCTATAGTGAATTTTTAAAGAGATTTGTGGAAGCTACCAGAGAGTGGAAAGTCGGCATTCCCTCTGATCCATTGGCCAGCATGGGTGCTCTGATAAGTAAAGCACATTTGGAGAAAGTAAGTAAATTTCTGCTGTGTAAATAACAGAATAACTTCTTATTTAAAGGCAAGCTCACTATGAGCATAGCACACATCAGACTCTGAAATACTGTTACTCCCCATTTTTGAAAAATTATCTGGGAGAAATTGTGGACATAGAGTCTAAACATTGTGGATATGAATATGCAAATGCAGTCCCGGTGAAAGTAGCATCCACATGAAATTAATGAACTTAAGAAGTCAGCATGGAGATACCACCAGTAGAGAGGAGAAGCCAAATTTCAAAACATAAAGATCAGCTAATAAGGGTGACGTGGAAGAGTGCCAGTGATTTCCATAGGCAAACATTCTCTTTGGAAAAGGCCCACCTCTGGTTTATAACAGGTGGGATTCCAGAAACGGCAACACAAACAATCCAAATTGTGTAATCTTTAGTCAGTGGGGGACCAGGGTGACCCATCTGGAAGAAACCACTGATAGTCTCTGAGTGACTGATGGAACTCAGATCTTCAGCATCGTTTTTTTTTTTTTTTTAAAGCAGATCTGGCCTTTGACTACAATTTAGGGTTATTTTAATGTATTACCAGATGTGACTCCCAAAATAAGTCATATATTTTGGAGTTAGAAGGACTCTGCTTTCAGCTGAGGGCCATTGAGGGAAACTTGACCCCATCAGCCAGCCAATGAGACAGAGCGTTTTCGTAAGTTCATAGAACTCCCTGACACTGCACAGCGCACTCCCACATTGACTATATTTAACTTGACTTTCAGGACACTGCAACACAGTTGCCTGCAGATGGAAAGATGAAGTAGCTTGAAGGCCTGTCCTTATTTCTTCTGTTTTCTCAGTGAAATAGGAATCAGGGTGAGGAGGGAAAAAGGTATCAGAGTTTTCCAGAGGGAGGAGAGGGAATGAAATAATCTCGCAGTAGGTCAGGAGAGAGAAAGGACTGGGAAGTGACAAAGTTTGTTAGCAGAGCAGCTCAAAGGGCTCACTTGAGGCCTGCGGTCATTTATTTAAAGTGAAGCTGACCAGCACGGTGTGTTTTTCTCCAGCTAAATTAACCTACAAGATTGCAGGTACATAGGCAGCTTGGACGGTCCTTTATGGAGTGAAGATTTTCCAGGTGCAAGAGACTTCCTTGTTCTCTCTCCTCCTGGCTCTTTTAGACACTAGGGCTCCCTGCCTGCCTGCCCACACCTGCAAATGACTGGTTCAAAACAATGTTAGTATGCCCTGGACTGCTTCCTGGGAAACAGGAAGGGGCAGAATGAAAGTTAACCTCCTGGAAGTATCTTTCCGCAGGCTCAGGCAATAGTGCAGTGTGAGGTTCTCTGTGTAATTCACTCACTCAGAATTTCAAAGTTCTTTCTGTTTCAACTCAACAGATACACTATTTTTTTTTCTATTTTAGTCACTGACATAATAGCTATTTTCGTTACCCAGTGAGAGAATACATATTAGTGAAACAAATAAAAGTATTGACTTTTCTGTATCAGTTGAATGATCCTCTTTGTCTCTCTGTCTCTGTCTGTCTCTGTCTCTCTCTCTCTCTCTCTCTCTCTCTCTCTCTCTGTGTATGTAAGAGAGAGAGAGAAATTGATGCCACGCTTTGACTGATATTGGTAGCTATGGCTTTTCTCTGTGATATGGTAAATATTTGTCTTCAATATGTTGTAATTTCTGTGGACTTTCATACCATATTTTTGATGCCTAGTATTAAATATTTAATATTGTGATGACTTATACAAGATGCTAATGAGTTCTCATAATTTATTGGTATAAATTGCAGATTCTATGTGTTTATAAAATGTAACACTAGATAGATGACATGCCCTAACCTTTAAAACCACTCCAGGACCCCCCTCTTTAACCTGCTCTCCTGTACTTCTGAGCTCACTGGAGGCCTGGAGGCATCTGTGTCCTCTGACAACAGGCGGCCTCAGGTGGTCTGAATTTCTCTGCTCCACGTGGACAGCAAGACCACTCTCTACTGAGCCTTGGTTCCTTTCAGTGGAGAATGGTAATCAAGGCCAGCATCTGAGCTGAAGGGTGTTCCATTAGGGGATTTCCTATTACATGACGAGTGGCCCAATGACATCCAAGAAGAGGTGGCTTAAAACCTTGTGGTGCTTCACACACACTGCCCTTCCCCTCCTTTTATTTTTGAGATGGAGTCTTGCTCTGTTGCCTAGGCTGGAGTGCAGTGGCACAATCTTGCTTCACTACAACCTTCGCCTCCTGGGTTCAAACGATTCTCCTGCCTCAGCCTCCCAAGTAGTTGGGACTAACACAGGCATCCCACCATGCCCAGCTAATTTTTGTATTTTTAGTAGAGATGGGGTTTCACCATGTTGGCCAGGCTGATCTTGATCTCCTGACCTCAGATGATCCACCCCCCTTGGCCTCCCAAAGTTCTGGAATTACAGGTGTGAGCCACAATGCCTGACCACATTGCTTTTTTTTAAAGAAGGTTCCTGGCCAGGTGCAGTGGCTTATGCCTATAATCCCAGCAGTTTGGAAGGCTGTGAGTGGATCATTTGAGGCCAGGAGTCCAAGACCGGTGTGGCCAACATGGTGAAACCCTGTTTCTACTAAAAATACAAAAATTAGCTGGGTGATAGTGACCTGCGCCTGTAATCCCAGCTGCTTGGGAGGCTGAGGCAGGAGAATCGCTTGAGCCTGGGAGGCGGAGGTTGCAGATTGTGCCACTGTACTCCAATCTGGGTGACACAGTGAGACACTGTCTCCGGAAAAAAAAAGAAGTGTCCTGAGTCCATGCTGACGTTTCCAATGTGGCTAAATTACCTTTTAAACCTTGCTCTAATATCATGGTTATTTTATTACTGGTGATCATGTGTCATGCTGTTTGGTCATAACCCACGTTATTCACAGCCAATGCCTAAGTCTTTGGACTAACCTAAGAAACCAGCTACGATCTGTCCCATTACCTCTGTGACCTTCCCTTTCCTCATTGCACTGCTGCATACTGGCCTTCCTGGCCTTCCTGGAAAATACCAGGCACCCTTCTGCTGCTTGGCCCTTGCTCTTGTTGCTCACGCTGCCTGGAGTGCTCTTCCTTCAGCTGTATGCATGGCTCTCTCCTTCCCCTTCTTAGAGCAGATGCCACCTGCATGAAGGCTTGCCTGCCTGCCCTATATACAGTGATACCTTTTAAAACTTTGACTTCTCTGGAGCTTTTTCTCTTTGGTTCTTACTGTCATCTGACATGCAATATGTATGTCTTATCCCTTTACTGACTAACTTCCCTGGACTGGAATGTCAGCTTCATGGTCAATGTTATTCACTGCTGTATCTTTAGACTCTAGAAAGCTCCTGGGACATAGTAGGTGCATATTCATTGGGTGAATGATTGAATTAACACCACACGTTGTGTTCCAGGTACGATATATCTCTCTAATTTAAGGTATCCATTTTCCTTGAATTCTTTTTGATCCTTGGCTTAAACTATCTGGAATTGGGTCCAAAATGTACAGTTCCTGTCCATCTCTGGCCAGCATGACTGAGCATCAAGACTCTGAAAGGAAAAACAAAATAAACAAAAAACTAAAACCCAGGCTTTCTCCAAGAAAATGCTTGAGAACATGCAAGCATGGAGCCTCTAGTATCACTGATCACTAAATCATAACAATGATAAAGGCCTTATAGATACATGCCTTGGAGGTTTGGCTTAAAATTCCTCTTTAACTATTCATCATTGGTACAAATATTGGCGATTTCAGCTTAGGTCACAAGTAGTTTTGGTATCTAATAATAGTTTTCTAAAAACCTTTGACCAAATATGGATCTTTAATACCTCAATAGTATACAAATTAACTTTTTAAATGCCAATTAGGAATCTCAAAAAATATATCTAGATTATTATCAAAAATAATTTCAGATTTCTACAGCATTACTGCAAACATACAAGTGAAAAAATTTCTGCAGGTCTATATTTCTCCATGGTTCCCATGTTTCTCAAGAATCAACTTATTAAAAAGGTACCGAAATATTGCTATTATAACACATTTTAGTTAAAGACACAATTTGCATTGCATTTGGAAGCCTCCCAAATTCTTAAACTTTAGTTTTGGGTTTTGGTGATTCCTAGTAGTTTTCATCACCTGTAAAGTAAACACAGCATTTAGCAAGTTTAGGTGTCAGAATATTTCAGCATAAAATATCCATGTTTTTCCCTCGAGTAAAATGTGTACCCTGAACATTGTGTCTGTCAGTGACTCCACAGAGAGGACGTAGATTACTTTTCCTTCAGTAGGTTTGTGATTAGAACCTTTCAATCTAAAATAACAACATAGAGAAGGACTCTCTAAAGAGGTAAAAGTGACTTTATTTGGGAATGAATGCCAGAAGATTACAAACTGGGATATGTGCGTTGTGATGGATTTTGGGGTTAACCAGGGAGGTAAAGGAAGACAAAAGCTTTTAAAGGTAAAATGAGGAAGGTGATAGAATGTTGTTTTGAAATAATCATCATTGACTGTAAGGATCAGTAATAAGGGTTATTTATTATTGTTATTATTATTATTATTATTATTTTGAGATGGAGTCTCGTTCTGTCACCAGGCTGGAGTGCAGTGGCATGACCTTGGCTCATTGCAACCTCCGCCTCCTGGGTTTAAGCGATTCTCCTGCCTCAGCCTCCTGAGTAGCTGGGATTACAGGCATGTATCACCATGTCCAGCTAATTTTTGTATTTTCAGTAGAGATGGGGTTTCACCATGTTGGCCAGGATGGTCTCAATCTCTTGACCTTGTGATCCGCCTGTCTCAGTCTCCCAAAGTCCTGGGATTACAGGCGCCACCGTGCCTGGCAAGGGTGATTTATTATGAAATGGGGGCTCCAATCCAAGGTTGAACGGACAGTGCTGTGTAAACATCCTTGTAGAAGTATTTTTTGGGCAAGGTTGCTGTGGCCTTTGTGCAAGGTTGTGGTTTTGGTAGAGTTTCTTGCGGTAGTTTTTGTTATCAGGCCAATGTATGTGAGGACTCTGTCCATG